GGATGAGCTCGTGCTTCTCACCGGCCTCCTCGTCTCCTCCCTTCCACCCTCCCCGTCTCCTCCCTTCCATCCTCCCCAGGGCCCTACAGCGGGCTGGCTCCCCTTCTGGCGTTTCCCACCCTTGCCCGGGAGCCCTCCGGGGCTCGTCTCTGCAGGCTGGGGAAAAACTGCAGCCTCCAGGGTGAGGGATTTTGTTTGTCCGTTTCAGTGTTTTAAGGAATTGTTAACCAACCTTGAAAATGCCGTGATATCTTTATATTAAAAATCTGGATTTTCAGCTTTTCCTGAAAAGCTAGAAAATGTGGCAGCACTAGGCACGTGTTCCTAAAAGGCAGGTCACGCTAGGCGGGAATGGAATGTTCTTTGCATGTTTTCTCCAGTTGTGGCTGTTGTTCGTCCCCCTCCAAACCTGTCCAAATCCTGCTATTTGGCGAAACCCTCCCAGGCAGCCCAGGGTGGGAATGTTCCCTCCCCTTAATTACTAAAGCACACGGGGTTTGCCTTTCTCTTTTGGTGCCATTGCCTGTTGTTTTGCTTTGAGCTTAGGCTGACAGTCCCTCCTGGGTGCGTGTGACAGCGCCCGAGGCGCGATGCCTCGCATGTTGTGGATTCTCAGCAGATGTTGTGACCAGAAAGATGCACAGAAGTGATCCAGGGGCGTGGTCTGTGGGTAACAGGAAGGCCTCTGACTAAATGAGGGATATGTTAGCTGATGACTCAGCCCAGGGACCTTGAAGAGATTGGTTCACTCTTTGTCACCATAACCACTGTTTGGGGACTGATTTTTAATGTGGGGAGATCCGCAAACACAACTAAACTCTGGTAGGAGAGTCAGCTGAGGCTGTGGTTACTTCCTTGTGAATGAGGTAATCTGTCCCTAAAGTTATCTATTCCGTGATGCTGCTCAATACATCAAATAGAGCTAAAGAGAACTTCAATCAGTATTCAAGAATATTCCTGCACTCCTCATTGAAAATTTGAAATACCGCATATACACAGAATTCTATCCTTGAGGGCGTTTTCTTTACTCCTGTCAAGTTCCTTTGAGAGGGAAGGAGGCTTTGCTTCCGGATGTCTGGGCCGGGGGGGGGGTGGGTAAGTGGTTCTAGGACAGTCCTGTCGAATGGACCGCAAAGTTCTGCATCTCGGGAGCCACTCACCGCTTGCCACATGTGGCCGTCGGGCACTGGATTGTGGCTAACGCGACCGAGGAACTGAAATTTTAACTGTATTTCATTTTAGTGAATTTAAATTAAAATAACCACATGCGGCCACCATACTGGACAGGCCAGATCTCCAGGGTTGGAGAAAATGGGTCAAATGCAGTGCCTGGGGGAGAGCGGTGTGCAATCCTAATGAGAGGATGCCTTATTGCGGATGTGTCCCGTAGGGGCGGGACTCTGTGTTGCTGCACAAGTAAAAGCCTGTTCGACCAAACCCGGCAGGGCATCAGAGCTGAATAATGTTTGCAGGGAAACCCACTGCTGTACTGTTCTGAGGAGAGCATCATTTCCACTAAGAACAGCAGACACTGAGGGGCACCCTGGCGGCTCAGTCGGTGAAGTGGCTGACTTTGGCTCAGGTCATGATCACGTGGCTCGTGAGTTCGAGCCCCGCGTCAGGCTCCGTCTGATAGCTCAGAGCCTGCTTAGAATTCAGTGTCTCCCTCTCTCTCTGCCCTCCTCCACTCGCTCTCTGTCTCTCTCTCTCTAAAATAAATAAACATTAAAAAAAAAACTTACAAAAAATAGCATAGCAGACGCTGGGTTTCCCTTGGCTGTGACTCCTTGAGCAGGTTCTATATCTGTTTCCTGTGCTTGACTACATCGAACCATGACTTAAAATACATACTCTGCGTCCACACCAGATACATGCTGTGTGTCCACACCAAATATAAATGCCAAACCCAAAGGACCGTTTTGGGGGAGGAGTGGAGAAACTTAGGGCAATTCTGTGTAGATCGTTAGATAGAAACTTGTGGGTTTATCTTTTTTTGCTTGGCTTTTCTTGAGAGGAGTCAGCCGAAGCTGGCTGTGGGTACTTTGCCCTTATATGGTGGTGTTGAAAGCCACCCAGTGCTGAGGATGTAATTGAATTAATCTTTAGCCACATTTTCCGGAACACAACCCAGTGTGTGCTGAGATCTTCTCCAGGGGACCGTGGCCATCACTTTGGTGTTCATTGGCCGGGGCAGGGGGGAGCCCCACGGGCTCTGACCACACTGTGGCTCCCCAGCTGTGGTCTGTGTTTGTGGGCTGCTGACTGTTGTATAATATAGTGAGTTCCGTTGTTGGCGTTTCAGTCCCCATCCGTCCTTTCACTGTGGAAAGTCTGGTAGACCCTTGAGATCTGTTCCGTCATCTATTTGTGGCCTCCTAAATGACTCCTTTCAGCCTGGATTTCACATATACGCAAAAATAGGAAGTGGGGCACAGGCAGCATAGAGTGACAGAGTGCCAGCATGGTGGAGGGGAAGTGGTGGTGGCCAGGGAGGCTGGTACTCGCGGAGGGAGGGAGGCGGCATGCACATCCCGTGTGGTCTTTCCCAGAGTCCTGACTACAAGTACAGCTTCGGGATCCTCCCGGCATCCTCAGCCTGGATGGAGGTCACATCCGTACCCACATCCATTTCCAGCTCCTCTCCCCTTCCAGAAGGACGGGTAACGGGAATGGTGGAAAGTTCCAATCTTCTACTCATGGTTTGGTCTTCCTTGTGACCAGCCTCCATCCAAGAGCCCACAAGAGTTACCTCGTTAGAACTAAAGATGAACCTACCAGCCAGAAAGTTCTGTGTCAGGAATGGGGGGCTCAAAGACTGTTAGAACAAAAGATTCTCCTGGTACCCCCATTCACACATGCTTTAGGAGCTCTGGGCCAGGAGCCAGGGGTAGAGACCAATATATACATTTCTTATTATTTCACAGCACTATATAATATTCCTCAGTTTCCTCCAAAAGCTTGGATCCTCTTTTGTGTTGGAATAGAAAGAAAAAAAAAAAGGATTCTTTTTGAAAGCACTCTTAGTAAATGCGTTTTACTAGAGAGGAAATAGGAAGTCAGCCTTGCCCCTGAAGACCAGGTGATGCAACCCACAGAGTGGCTAAGCCCAGGTGTCCCCCACACAGCTCTGCTTCTCGCTTCTGCAGACCCTCCTTGGCCATCACTATGGCGGAGAGGCACCGGAAAGGAGGTGACTCATAATGGGAAGGTGAAATACAAAATCGCAGCACTTTCCTAAATATAATTTTATGTCGATGTTCTCAGAATGGGGAAGGTGAGATAACAGAAGGGCGAGATAGCAAAGATCTACTTTGCTGTAGAAGTATGGAATCCAAATTAGTGACATCTTTCACCACATTCCAGCTGGACTTTCTGCCCTCTCTTCTGGATTGGATGTCTTTGGTTTCCGGGATATTGAACTTGACTCACATTGGCTGAAACAGGAATAGGCATTTACTAAAAGGTGGGGGGGGGGGGGGGGGGCTTCAGAGGTGGTTCGACTCAGTGACTCAGTGACTTGTCCAGAACCCTGGTTTTTCTTATTTCCCCTTACTCTGCCCACCGTGAGTCAGGCTCACTCCCTTCTTGGTTCAGTGATGCCTGCCAATAATTTCTGGCTAAGTTTCCTCTTTCCACTCGCAGTTTAGAAGGAGTGAACAGGGATGCTTCTTGTGGACAGAGGATCTTTTCCCAGTGCCCCCATCAGTCTCAGTTGGATCTCCCATCCCCTCCTGAGCCGATAATTGGAGCTGGGGTGGTCCTGACCCAAGTACCATGCGTCAGAAATCTTCAGAATCAGGTTCCCCAGACCCAGAGCTGTGAAGGGAGATGTGGACCCTGAATAAAGATCAGGCAGGGACACCTGGGTGGCTCAGTCGGTTAAGCGTCAGACTTCAGCTCAGGTCATGATCTCGCGGCTCATGAGTTCGAGCCCTGCATCCGGCTCCATGCTGATGGCTCAGAGCCTGGAGTCTGCTTCGGATTCTGTGTC